ATCAATAACAAGCTTGGAGCGTACTTTGCGTGGAGTCGTTCTGGTGCAAGGAAAGTCGTTCGTCTGTGACGTATACAGGTCGAATACAAAATACAAAGCAACCACGGTTATATGATATACTGTGGTGTTTGGCAATTAAGCATATAATAACATTATAAAGACTGTTATGACTATTACTACTTTCGACATTACACTGGGATATGGAATAACGTGAAGCCTGGTTTATTGTAAATTGTTCTACGCACCGTTTTTCTATTTTAGATTATGTAGGTGATGGAAACGATGCCAATGTTACGATGATATAAATATACAGCCGACATATTCTAAGGTAATTGTGAACACATTGTACCAATTAATACTTAGATGTTGTTACAGGTTCCACGATAAGGCGCTGTATTTACGAAATACCAAAACTATTGAACAAATTACATAATAAACCCTTTTATGACGTTTTGTTCCAATAATTCTATTTCGCTGCTTGTCGACCTATCGTTCTGTCTCCATCCGCTGAATTCACACTACGAACACTGACTGACACCGGCGGTCTTGGACAACAGTTTGTAATTATGTTTCTGATAGTGTTGAATAATGAATACAGTATTATTTCAAAACCTATTCAATATATCATTTTATCGTCACTAATAATATTTAATTGGTAAGAACAATGATTGTGATTATTAATTTGTTGTTCTGAATATACATTTTAGTTAGCGCATGCTGAAATTTCAATAATGTCGTCCAAGTGTCATTTCCGTATTCGAAATAGCTGCATGATCAGTAATAATGTCCATTTCATCCTAAAGATAACGATGATACCTCACTATTTGTGAATACGAACGTTGTATATCTATTTAATTCACGCGTTTTTACAGAATGTAACAGATGTAAGCCATTATGCATCCCTAAGTAAACCGGAAGCTGAGAATCAATACGCCTCGTTGTCGATTAACAAAGAAGAACACATCTATATGAAGCCAGAGACAAGGATCTGTGAATTCCCCAGAGAACGAGTATGTATCACCAGTGTTATTTCATCCGGGAGATTCTACGAAATGTGTAAAGCCGATGCCTGGAATATCGACGGGGAAAAAGAACATGCGGAGGTTGTCATTAAAAAAAGCATCGGTATGTGCGAAGTATTATTTACGTATTACATTTTGAGTACTTAAAGGAAACATCAAGTCAAACAACATAATGACCCCTCAAGAAAAATATCCACAAATGTGAGAGAATGCAATTTACATTTTTATATCAGTTTTCATAGTCTAGATATTCAACTTTTCATCAATATTATGTAGTCAGCCATCTTGATTTTGTCAGGCAAAGGATTATGGTTTAAGTATGACATCATAGAATCTGTTGTCAGAAATTGAGAAAATGAAATTTGTAACATGAGTAATACTGATTATTGTAATGGAAATTAGAATGTTACAAATACACGTAAAGTGAAGATATTGCTAAAAACGTTAAACAAATAAAAATTGTAGTCGTGAAATATAGAATGACACTTTTTTGTGGCCAACAGGTAATATATCATCTATATATTTAGTAGAAAAACATAAAAATAAATATTTTCGTTCTGTTTCTATGACAATTATTTTATAAGCATGTTTGGCACAAGTACATGTATGCTACCATGTTCTAAACTTTCAGCCATTATGAAGTTCAACTTTTGAAGTTATAGATGAAATCATTTTCTCAATATCTGACAACAGATTCTATGATGTCACACTTTACCCATAATACTTTGCTGAAGAATCAAGATGACGGACTCCATCAATTGATGAAAAGTTGAATATCTAGAAAATGAAAACCGACTGTAAAAACTGTAAATTGCATGTTCTCACATTTGCCGAGCTGTTTTATCTGGGAGTATTATTTTGTTAGTCTTGACTTTCTCTTTAAGGGCAACTTTTTAGAGTTACTGGATGGTGTGTATTGACGAGTACAAAACACAATTACTTACAGATCCTGCAATGCCCTGATTGAAGCAGAGATAATGAAAGAGATTCAAACACTGCACTATATTCAGGGGAATAAAAATGTTGTGAAAATCATTGGATGTTGTACTGACCAATGTGAGTAATTCATTCATTGTATGCTATCAAAACACAATTTGAAATGCCGGGGTAATTTCAATAAAATCGAAGAATTAGGTGATTTTTTTTCTAATTTTATTTTTAGCTCCAAAATATATTATATTGGAACAAATGCCTGAAAACCTGAAGAATTATCTTCAATTTCAATGTAACACATCAACGGAGCATGTGAGCGAAGTTACTCAAAAGGATATGTTTTCCTTCATGATGGACATCGCAAGAGGAATGGAGCATCTCAGTAAATTGAAGGTTGGTTTACACTTAAAAACACACACCACGTTTTCCCGCGCCTTAAATCTGAAAATAACATTATATAAACAATTTTTTGTATGTATGTATTCGGCGCTGAATGGAACGGGGTGTTGTTTCTTCTGACTTGTTGTTAGTTATTGTAAATTAAAATGCCGAACATACTGTGTATTTCTGTACTTGTATGTACTTGTAGTTATCCGGCTTATCCGAACCTTATCGAAAGGTCTAAGAATGACGTATTGTAAGAGATTCATACCTCGACATAACTCGCCCAGATTATGAATCGATCGATGTTTTTATGTTCAAAACCAAGGTATGATTCTAACTGAGTCCCGCGGGACCTTGAGATTTTCAGGCTGGTGTACGTAATTATATATAACCTTGGTATATCTTTTTTTACAGATAATACATCGATATTTAGCCGCTAAACATATATTGATATCGAGTAATAACACGTGCAAGGTTTCTAATTTCACTTATGCAAGTAACGTCATTAACGATGACAGATTCTACGAGAAGACAAAGGTATTTATATCCGAGTGCAGGGAGGTGGGGAATCGTCATATTATGTTTGAGGGTGCAACATTTTTCAACAGTTTTAATGCTTGATTATTATGTATATGTGTACTATTTTAGGACAATTTCCCGTATCAGTGGATGGCGATTGAAACACTTTTGAAGAAGCGATTTGATTGGACGAGCGATGTATGGTCTTTTGGAGTTGTATTATGGGAAATCGTGACTTTTGGTAAATATTTATTATTAATAATAAATGTAAACTACAATTAGCCAATTAATTTACAATTTTGATATGATAAATAGTGTAAATTAAACGGTCTAATTGTATTTATAGGATGTTCACCACATGGAAGCATGACGAAAAAACAAGTTACAGATATGATTCGAATGGGAAAACGACTGACTAAGCCACCCAACTGCGGAAAGGAACTGTAAGTATCAAATATTTCTGATTTGAATTAATAATTGTGATTGTGCGAATGAAAAATTGACTATTGCAATTCCCTTTGCTTTTCAGCTACAGCGCGATCAATTCGTGTTGGATTCATAACGTTACAAATCGACCGCATTTCTCACAAATGATAGAAACCATCAACAGTTTGATGAATGATGGCAAGGTATGGAGTGTTTTTTTATGAAGCTGAACTTTTATTTATACAACGATACCACGTTACGAACATTGTACCAATCTACGTAATTTATATTATATTATTGTATTTGTTCTTGTTTATTTCAGGCACACATCGATGTTTCAAATCCTGGCGAAATACTCAATATTTACCAACATAATTTACAATTTACTGTGTAGTAGGATAGTATTACTAACTCCGTATGTAAGGTTGACATAATTGGTATTGACAGTATGTTTAAATACTGTTTTTGATAACGTACGGCATGTATTGACAGTGGTTAAAACAGTTGTGTGAGAATACCTAAATAACAGTAGGGTCATATCAACTGCAGTTGTGATATCCAATCCATATATGTTTGTTTTTTTATTTATTCTTTGGGGGTGTTTATGAATTCAAATTTTCCTAACAAAAACCAAACGATTTTGCTAATTTATACGAGACACTAACGATGATTTGTTTCCCAAGAAAAAAAATACTTTTGTTCGAATTGTTATATTTTTCGATGTTTCTTTTTTATTTTATTTTTTTTATTCTTTTAATTTGCACGTCTTTTGTGTTTTTTGAACACGATTTAACGTTGCAGAATTTTATTTAGTTGGTTTCCAATGAAGTATTATAATGCAGTAATAGTGTATGATATTGTCCGAATATTTACAATATTTTATTCGAATAGTGTAGACACAAAATCTAAAAGATATTATTGTTCATCTAATAATTCCAATCTCAAGAATTATTTTAAAATAAAAAGTTTAAAATTGGCAATTTATAATAATAAACTTACACAGTTTCTAATTGTTATTTTCGCTTTTGTATGTAAAATTACAAATGATCTCTCGTACATTTCTCATGCAGTTATGTGCATTCGTATTATACAATGCTTACTCTTTCGCTCAAACAAATTGTGAAATAAAAATGACTACATTTGCGATCTAGACATTTTTGTGTTTTTGTCTGATCTGAATGATAACCGCACAAGTCAATATTATCGTACAAATACATGTTATTTCATTCATTTATAATTTGACTTGCATTACTATCACTAGAGTCAGACCACATTGATGATTACGAGGTCATGTGTCAATCCTAGTGACGTAATGCATATGTTTTATATCGACTAAATAACACGCTGTGGAAATACCACGGGGACCATAGAACCCTCACTTAGTGACAGCAATGTATCGTTGCGTGTATTATAATTTTGGTTCGATGGCGCACAATTTTTTTGGTATATTAAGGTAGAAGCCTACTTATGATTTCAAATACCCAGAATTAACTATTTTGTTAATAAATTGTACTTCCAGCAATATAAGAATATAGACTTAAAAAATGTGTGGGTCACCATGATTAATTTTCGAGAAAATCATGGTTGCATTTTAGTGAATAGCGGCCATTTTGGCAGTATTATAGTGCTTTTACCATAGGTTCATATGGAAGAGATATTATGCCATATCTCAAATTGTAGGCTGGTGACATAGGCTGAAAAAATAATATATTGTTAATGATGGGGTACTTTTTGTTTTCCTGATTTTTTCAAAAATCTGGGTTTTAAAAAGTGTCGAAAAATGCAATTTTTGTTCTAAAAATGAATATTTTTGAAAAATATTAGGACAAATTTCTCAAAATACGTCACTGTAACACACAAAAGAATGCTATTTCAATGTGCCTTGGGACATTAGCTTCATGGCTTTACATGATAAACGAATGATTCAGAACCTTTTCATGCGATTTATGACCAACTTTCTCCAAAATGATGAGTAGGCTTCGTAAGAACATCATTAACGTAATATAAATTATACGTAAATGATAGATTGAATTAACAAAGTAAATGTGCCCAGAGAATTGTTCGTGCACAAGTATATCTTGTAGATATGCACACTAAAACCCACACAAGTAGGAATCTCTGCATTACTTGGCATTAATTGGTTCGCCCTAGTATCATCGCAATTTTCTGGCCAGCTTATGCAAACTAATGCAGTGACCTCTTGACAGTCAGCATTAGACAATTTGTTTTGTCTTGAATTGATGGCAGTATTTAATATAGTGTCAATATACTTACATTCCACAAGGCAAATGTGAGTCGTCTTGGCGAAGGATTGCTTCTTGAACAGCTCGAATAGCTATTGCACATCAAACCTTCCCACGTTATCTGCAAACAAAGTGTTGCGCCAAATGATTTTAGTTATGTGATTAGGACATCTACTTCTTAACATTCTCCACTGTTCCCAACTGCTTTTCCTGCACATATGTTTTTCACTTACTTTTTTATGAGCGGAAGGATATGTGTGTCACGTATGGCGTAGTGATATGTATCGATTTCCGTGAGATGATACTAATCATGATACCCTAGTGGTACATTTCATTCGTCATTCTCGGATTTTTAATATGTAACAATACGTCCGATGCTGTATAGAGTCAGGTCTGGTCACCCATAGGTGAACTGAAGTTTGTATAATTTTTAATAATATACTGACAAAAAAGTTGTATACGAATTAACTACAATTAAGTAATTCGGTCTCCGTCCGTCCGTCCGTGCGTCTGTGCGTCCGTGCGTCCGTGCGTCCATCCGGAGTTATATCTCAGAATCCCTTGGACCGATTCCGTTCATTCTTTGCATGTGCCTAGTACTTTATGTGGGACATATGCACATGCAGTGGTTTAGCGATTCGATTCCAAATGGCCGACTGGCAGCCATCTTGTTTTTTGAAAATGTCGTATTTTGGACATGATTTGTCAGTTTTCATGTCATGTCCCCGACCATCCGTGAGTTCCTGAGTCTGTCCGTCCGTCTGTCCGTGTGTCCGTCCGTCTGTGCTTCAGTCTGTCCAGAGTTATATTTCAGAATGCACATGCAGTGGTTTAGCGATTCGATTCAAAATGGCCGACTGGCAGCCATCTTGTTTTTAGAAAATGCTGTATTTTGGACATGCTTTGTCAGTTTTCATTCAAACTTGGTACACAGAATATACATGTTAGGATATATGTCCATGACCATTTATTTTACAATTGGATCAAAGATGGCCGAACTGGCAGCCATCTTGTTTTTTGAAAATGTCGTATTTTGGACATGATTTGTCAGTTTTCATTCAAATTTAGTACATAGATCATACATGTTAGGATACATGTCCCCGACCATCCTTGAGTTCCTGAGTCTGTCCGTCCGTCTGTCCGTGTGTCCGTCCATCTGTGCTTCAGTCTGTCCAGAGTTATATTTCAGAATTGCACATGCAGTGGTTTAGCGATTCGATTCAAAATGGCCGACTGGCAGCCATCTTGTTTTTTTAAAATGTTGTATTTTGGACATGCTTTGTCAGTTGTCATTCAAACTTGGTACATAGATTATATATGTTAGGATACATGTCCATGACGAATTATTTTGCAATTGGATCAAAGATGGTCAACTGGCAGGCATCTTGTTTTTTATGCGGTATCTTGGACGTGCTCTGTCAGTTTTCATTCAAATTTGACACATACATGTACTTTATACATGTTAGGATGCATGTCCATGACAATTTGTTTCAAAATCTGGTCAAGGATGGCCGATTGACAGCCATCTGACTTTTTGGCCTTCTACTATATTTCCACAATTTATGTACCATTTTCATTCGTATTTGGCACATACATCATACATATCAGTGTGTTTCATAATCAGATCAAAGATGGCCGAATAACGGCTGTTTTTATTTTTGGCCATATTACTACTACATGGAACACGTGTTTTGAAGTAAATAAACAATCTGTTGTATACGCCACTTGGAACTCAAGTTTCAAGGACACGCTCACGACAACCCCTCCGCTTTAATATGACGAGCACAAAGAGAACTTTCAAAAATTTAACGGGGACTGTCTCATTTTCAATGACTTGTTAGATATTAGATACAATGGTTGACACACGTGCATACTAGTGAGGATCTACACTGATTTACAATCATATTTATTGCAAGTGTTTATTTAACCTTTCCTATCCTGTTTTATTTTTTGAAATGTTATGGCTCGGAATTTTTTAACATAAAAATATTACAATAAACACTGAAAAAAAAATATATAAAAATGAAAAAAAATAGTATCGTAATTAAAGAAATAAATTACATTTTAGCACCGATGCAGTAAAAGCATGCATACATACATAAAAGTCCACATACAGTGTCACTGTTACAGTAGAACAGCGTCAATTGAATACAATTTCAATAACTAGTACTCGTATGAAGTTACAATTATATTTAATAAATGTTAAATACAGTATGAATTTGCATAATATCTTGTACAAAAATCAGACATGGCAAACCAACAACTGAGATTTATTGGTGTATGTGGACTACAAATACGCGCACTGAATAAAAACAAAACATGCTAAAACATCGACTTGTTCGTCGTTGGTGGCGCTAGTTAAAGAAACAATTGATAATTATATTCAATCTCCATACTCAATCTGCAAAATAAAACTGGCCTTTAATACGAAAGACATATCAACCACAATTTAATATACTGTTGACCGTGTAATGTAAAACATAAT